TTGTAATGGCTAAACAAATCATCAAGAGTCTTTTTCACCTTTTCCAATATCTCTTTGCTTTTCTCAGAATTCGTACCATAAATCGTTTGAATGCAATAATTGACATATCAAAGCTTGTTGCGTGGATCCAAAACAACCGCAACATACAATAGATAATTCATATTATCTACATTGTCCCAATATTTATCATACTTCTCTTTCATTGACATGGCATCTTTTTCTTTTGTCATCTTGACTCAAGCACATTCGGGTGATGTTTGCTTGCATTTTCACAAGCTCAGAAAAAAAAATATTGGATGTTACATACTTCGAACCAGATATCTTGGTGTAACATCAGAAAATATTTTTAAGTACTCGATCAAATTCCTATTTTAAATATCAATAATAATAATAATAATAATATGTAAGTATTCAAAAGATATATACGAAGTACTAACAAAAAAAGTTAATCATACCTAGCTGTTTCCCAATCAACGTCACTTGGAGCACCAAGTACTCTAGTCTTCCTTTTCCTTTTCCTTGCGCTCCTTTCCAAATCTTCCTCCGCCTCGGTGCGGAAATAAGCTCCATAAGAAGAATCTATCATATAAAGCCTATTAAGAAAATAAAACATGGATATGATATTATTTTGTCACTGAAACGAGAATATAACATAAATATATAACAAGTAAACATACCTTTCAAACGCGTTCTCATAAATTACGGCTGTTTCCAACATTAGATATGTTGAATTCCATCTTGTATCGACATCAAGAGATGGCTTTGTGTTTGCATTTTATTTCAACTCGAGCAATACAGTCTTCAAATGTTTTTATATCGAGCTGGTGATGATCGCACGTAAGTCACCGCATTTCGAATTCTAGTAACAGATTCGAATTGCTCTTCCAATCCATCTCTAACCACGAGATTGATGATATGTGCACAACAACGAAGATGCAAATATTTACAATCTAATATATCATGTGGACCCTTCAACATCCTCTTTAATATCTTATTGCCCCATCGTTTGAAGATGCGTTATCCACTGTAATAGTAAACACAATCTCAATCCCCCAGTTTTGTATACATCATAAACAGGCGCCCGATCGTGTCACCCTTATGATTCTCTATAGGGCAAAAATTTAGGATCTTTTTTTGTAAAACCCAATAATCATCGATCCAATGTGCAGTGAGGCACATAAATTGACATTTTGGACCGATGACCAAGTGTCTGTAGTTAGACACACTGTTTGGCCTTTCATCATAGCTTTCACTTTTTCCGCCTCTTGTTCATAAATCGATAAACAATCTCGAGCGACACTCCATCTAGATATGAGCTTAAACTCAGGATTCAATTCCCACACAAACTCCTTAAAACCCTCATCATCAACAATGCTAAAAGGTCTATTGTCTTTAATGCACATTTTGGCAAGGGCTAATCGACATTTCTCTTGGCTAAAAGAATGCTTAGCTAAAGACCCACTCGCCTCCGTACCTTTTGGCTTAAAGCTTAAAGTCGTTTGTTTTTTTATATCGGGTTTTTTATAAAGTGGGGAGGTCCTACATGAATGGACTAGATGAGTAAGTAATGCAGATGTACCATTCTTTCTAGTGCCACAAGCAATACTCTTTTACAATGTTTACATTTTGAAGATGTAGCCTTTGACATATGGGAAATGATCCCATACAATGGATCTCACCCTACCTGTTGACTTCTTTTCTTCTTCGGTGGTTACGTTCACCGGTTAATGGAACTTCAACTCATTGTTATTTTCATCATCAACATCAATTATACTACCTTCATCGGTAGCCATTCTGAAACACAATAATCAAACAGAAACATTCAAATACCTAACCTATTAGTGTTTCTATTATGTTATTGTACCTAAACAAAGGAAACAAAAATTAACTAAACAAAGCTTACTGATTTCAAAAAATTAATTTCATATTTCATATGTGTGCAAAATCTGGAAAAATAAAGATAATTGGCTTTCATGAAAAAATCATGAAAGTTGCTTCCAGTATGTATTAAAAAAATGAAATAGTTATATTTACCCTTTTAAAGAATTTAATTTCGTGAAGTAGTTATATCTTAAATTTACTCTTCAAACGTTAAAGCGCTCATGCATAATTACATATACTCCTATTTTACGTTGTATGAAAAAAAAAATCTCAAAAACTAAGTTCATATATTGTTATGGTTTTTGTAAATACAAATTGAAACAAATGCACAAAGCTACTGAATTAAAACACATACTCGAAAGAACGATGACATTCATGGCAGTGAATAAGGGTAACTGAAAACCTATTGTTATCTCTACACAAACAAAACAAATGATTTTTGTAAACGTAACGTTTATATATGTGATTATGTCTACTTAGATCGAAGACGCTTGCCGTATATATTTTTAAACAGTAAGAAACAAACCTGTAGTGGCCGGAGATGGTGAGACGTGTCAGTGTGATTCGCCGATAGTGTGAACGTTGACGTAGAGTCGTGCCTAACACTGATGATGTAGTGGCAGCCGGAGATGGAAGACTGAGGGTTGAGACGGTGAGGGATCGTGACTTCGTTCGTGAGAGTGGGAGGCGAAGAGTCTGAAATTTAGGCTAGGTCAAACTTTGAATCCCGCTCAACATAACCTTGTTTTTTAATTAGGATTATTAATATTAATAAATCAAATAATAACATTACATAATTATTTAAAATTTGTAAATTAGTGGTTCGGTTAGCGGTTCGGTTAGGTTTAGCGGTTCGGTTAATCTATTCGGTGCGGTTCGGTTATTTGCGGTTTTTAAAAAAACAATAACCGCACCGCACCGCAAAATTTCGGTTTTGGTAAAATTGAAAACCTCATCACCTCGGTTATCGTTTCGGTTTCGGTTAATCGGTTTCGGTTTTTGCGGTTTTTTCGGTTTTTTTTAATTGCGGTTCGGTTTTTGCTCACCCCTAACAATAAGTGTATGATCATGATTATTCATGTATAATTTGACGTTATGAATTTTACTAACATATGTATTGTTGATGTTATTGCTGAAAATTGGCACATGACACTTCTTCTGAATATGATGTTGTATGGTAATGGTGTGCGTGCAATGTCATTCCTTAGTGTTATGAAAGCAAAGACTATTCATCTTGACTATAATGAGTGGCTGAAAAGTTGATTAAGTGCATCCTTTTAGTGATCCTACCTTTTCCTATAGGATGGTTGGCAAATTTTGAAGCAATTTTCGAACATCACTTCTATTAAAGTTCCTGAATCTAGGTACACGTACACCGTACACCATGTTCATGTGAATGTCTCCCTACATATCTATGGATTAGTATTGGTTCTTCGTCCCAACAATGATGAGGTTTTCGAACCAAGTTGATGAACTTTACTTTTGTGCTTTTATTGAACCGATTATTGTAATAAAATATTTGTGTGAGGTCCTCTAAAATGAGAATCTTGATTCCTAGTACTCTTTCCATGGGTCATCATTCTTCTAAAAACGTATTAGTTTATGTCTTTCTAACATGTAACTCCTTAGATGATATTCTAATTCTCTTTTTAACATATTGTACGTAGAAGCTTCGTGGCCATAGCTTATATGATACTCTTAATATATATTTGTATGTCTTGGTGGATTTTGTTTTCGGATTTACTTCCAACTTTGATGATCCCCCATGGTTTATTGGTCGGAACTTTTGTATATATTGTGGTGTTTTGTTGAACTTCACCAATTTTTATGTATGTTTGTATAAACCAGTTTATTATTTATGTTATGAAATTGTTATGGTCAATCAGTTTTCCATGTGACAATGGTGTTTTGCTTCCTAACTTGCCTTTAACTTTTTATGTTATGGCATCCTCATGTATGAGGAAATGAAAATATATGTGATCTATGAGCTTTTTATGTGTTCTTGATGGTTTGTCGGATATTTTTTCTTCAAAGAGAACTGGGCTGAGGATGCCAACAACAAAGCAACAACCCAAGCCTATTGTGTGATGGAAGAATAACATCATCGCCGACCATGGTAGGGTTACTGGAGGGAGGCATCGACAATTAAGAAAGGAAAGAGAAGGATAGTACACGGGGGAGAGAAAGGAAAATGCAAGATTTTAAGAGAAGATAGATGGAAGGAAATCAATTCGGTCTGATATCATGTTATGTAATAAATTCCCCTCACAGACACAATATATACAAAGGAATAAGGCCATGGGCTGAAAAATACTATGGGTTATACAATGTTGGCCTAGGCTAAAGGCATACACAAATAATAAAGTCTAACTACACATACACTTACTACACGGCCGGTCCTAACGTATTTTGGGCCCGGGGCGAAAACAAGAAAAAGGCCTCTTATTATTTATTAAAAAAATTATATTGCCAAAAATATATTGGTTTTTAGGGGTGTTAGCTGAATAACAAAACCAATTCAACTGTAAAGATGTGCAAAAAACAAAAGCCGAATCAAAAGCGAAAGTCGGACCAGACTAAAAAAACAACAATTTTGTTTTTTGAGTTTTAAAAAAGACCAATTTTTCGATTCGGTTAGCTTTTTATTCATATAAAATACGAAAAAATAGCAAAGAGGAATACTCAAAAGATACTATTTCATGTATAATTTGATTGATTAAATATATTAAAAATAAAATAACTAATATGTTTGTACAGTATTTTGATTAACACTTAATATAAATTTAGGATTCAATACTTGATTTTCAAACTATAAAAGTATCTTTTACTAACAAATAGATAATACTACAGTGAGAATATAAAAGGTTTAACAAAAAAGGCAACATTAAATATCAAATATATTAAATATCTTAGTGGAAAATGGAAAATAAGTTGTGGACTTAAATAATATCTATGGTTAATAATAAAAATATGAAAAAGAAAAACGATTAGCATAATCGAATTTATATTTTGAAATGTGGGCCACAATATTTATCTATGTGGCCGTGTATGAAAAAAGAAAAACAATATTTTAAACATCCCATTTTCCTTTGTGTATATTTTTGGGTTAAAACTTGAAAGTAGTCAAAAATAACTTAAAAAGAGTGGAAGGAGAGTCGAACAGCAAGCCCTGGATATAAAGAGGCAAGTCTTAACCAGCTAACCTGAAAATATTTTGAATAATGATGCAAACAAATTAATATATATAATGATAAAGTCGAATTAATTTTGGGGTCATAACAGTACCGTTATGAGGCCCGGGGCCGTCACCCAGCTTGCCCACCCTATTGGGCCGGGCCTGACTTACTACAAGAATCAAGTAATAACTACTTGAATACAATAATTTTCGTTTGCATGAAATTTCTTAATACTTTACAAGTTTACATAAACATTGATGAAATAACATAAATGAAAGAAATATATATATGTATGAAAAAACAATCTATTTCACTTGTTACGCATAAGCCAATCCACCGTAAAACAAGTAGGGTTATTCTTTGAGATTTCATTTTAAAATACACATTACACGTTTGTTGTAAATATTCATAATGTTGGATATCTCCAAAACCAATTTTATACTGCATTGACAAGCATATCATGCATTGAAATAAAGTACATGCAATGTTTTGGCCATGCAAATAAAACGCTTAACATTTTGTCACTAAAATAAGATAAACTTTCTTACGGCATTGAAATCACCAAAACCAATTTTATACTGCATTGACAAGCATATCATGCATTGAAAACGCATATTATACTGGATTTGACTAGTTCAACACCAAAGAAAAGTTTATATCTTTAACTTAAATCACCATTAAAATTGCTAGCATGTCCTAGCATCCTTTTGTGCATTTTGTACACTTGTTACTCTACCTGAAAAATCACAAAGAATAAAATATTAAAACTTAGGTTAAAAATGACATTAAAAATTATAATCTTATACTTAGAAACTCACATGGTTGTCTCCTCCAGATATACAAGCAGGTCGTCTTGGAGGCAAACACTGACGAGGTGTTCTCTACATTCAATTTTCACTTATTGTTAATACAGAAAATAACATTCTATTATTTAATTTGACAATTTTTATTTTCTAAGGCTGACCAACAAAATATTTTGTTTCTCTTTCAAAATATATATATATATATATATATATATATATATATATATATATATATATATATATATATATATTTTGTTATGATACTTAGATTGTGTTTTGACAAAACTAGTTGTTAGTTGTTAGATAGTAGTTGTAACTCGTTAAGTTGTTTGGTTGTTAGTTAGTAGCTGGAAGCTAGAATGCGTAAGTTAGTAGTTGGAAGTTAGAAGATGCAATTTTTTTGTAAAGTGTTTGACAAAAGTAGTTGGTAGTTTTTAAAGATGTAAAATTAGATAAAAATCAAAAGCCAAAAGCTCCAAAAAAAAATAATAAAATAATAAAATAAAATAAAAAACTATTTAAAGTAGTTATTGGATTAGAAGTTTTTTGTTTAATAAAAAGCTAAAAGTTATCCAACCAAACTTTTTTTCTCCTTTAACCTTCCAAAGCTCTCCAAAGCTCCATGCCAAATTTTTGCATGTGAACTAAAAGTTTCACAATCATATCAACTATGAACAAGATAATAAGCGAAAATAATTTGTCTAAGAAAATAATTATATAGATTGCAGTCTGATTTAACTGAAGAAACATCATATAAGTGATATAATGATAAAATTATAACCATGAGATTGATAAACTTTTTTTGTTAGATTATGTAACTGGAAAAAATATAAAAATTCAATCACATTTTATCTTGCTTTGACAATTAGTCAATTAGATATACAGTTGAAATTAAATCATCGCATATTTAACAAAGACATAATTACATATAAGTTATAACTATATTCTTCATTTCAAAATTATATATTATTTAATACAGTAAAGAGTAATGATAAAATGCAACATGACAATACATGCCATATGAAGTTATTCATCTTGACATGTCATGCATGAGATTTCATTAAAGAAAACCAATCAAATAAACAATTATATGATATACTATTATATAATATATACTATGATATTAAAAAAATATTAAATAATATGCATTGTTTTATTCAACTTCAAATTTTAATTAAAAAATACCTCTAATTTTGGTCGCAAGGTCTCTATAGCTATCGTTGATTTCTCATTTATCCCTGCACCTTGCTGCTCAATAAAATGCAAGCTCATTAGTTTATATTAGCCAATTTTGAAATAATCCGGCCCATATTGCATCGGGCCATTATATATCATTTAATTAAAAGTTACCTTGCATAAGGCCCAGTCTGCTGAATCAAAAAAAGCACGTTCATGATCCTGCTCGAACGCATAACACAAAATATGATGGAAATAAGTAAATCCATAGAGGGGTAAAATGGTAATTTTGCATGAAAAATCTAGAGAAAGGGTAGGTAAATAAGTAATTTTAGCATACCTTTGAGATTAAGGGCTTCTTCTTTGGTGCTAGACCTCCATATTTCTGTTCCATTGTTGCCCCCTAAAGTTATGCGAAAAGAAATATAACTTTTAGTTAATAATTCTAAATTTTAAGTTGATGTGTTTACACTTATATATATATATATATATATATATATATATATATATATATATATAATTTATTACAAAGTCTTATTAGTACAAAAATAATTAAAGCCAACAATCGGAAACCAATTATACTTTTTAAATTAATTGTGATGTATCTTTTAGCCTAACTAACGAAAGTATTGTCTCTTTCATAAAGTTGGAATAAATTTTAGGGTTTTTAGCCAATAAATATGACAGAAAACTAAAAAAAATACTTGTAAAACTTGAATTTAACATTTATGATAACAAAGTTTTTAGTTTTATTTACAAAAGCAAAGATGTGAACAAAGTGATAGAAGCGTGTATATGTATGTGCACAAGTCGTTTTCTTTCAAGGGGCAATCCACATGATTCACTTGACATCCCAACAACATATGATGTATCGCATACATGTGAAATTACTATATCACCCTTCAAACCTAATTGGCCAAAATGTAAAAAGAAATATCTTAATTATGGACCACCTATACTAATATGGTAGGCCACTTCCCACGTGATTAATCTAGTTCTAGGACCGCTATGAAAAAAAAAATAATGCATTTTTCTTACTTTATATAATATTTTGATACAAATTAAAAGGAAAATATATGATTTTTTTTTTCAGAAAAACTTGTTTCAAAGCTGATTTTCGAAGGAAATGTGATGAAGGAAAAGATTGATGTAGTAATTTTCTATTTAAAGAACGAAATCGTTCACGATCAAACGTGAGCTACTATATATATAGAAATAATATTTATATCAAAATCGAGACAATCCAACACGTAGTATGACAGACCTTTAGTCACACGTAACACAGACCGAACAACAAAAAGATAATGTTATCATAATGTTTCGGAAACACGTATAAAAATTGTCATTTCTATATAAAACCTAATTTGTTAACATTTACAGGCATATTGTGTTAGACCTTTTATGCACCATATACATAAATGATCAGATAAATAGTGAAACGATAAAAATGTTAAAAAAAATACTGAAAACTCTTGTGAAAGCATCGTCCTTATATGTCATGTATCATGTGTTTGTAGAACCACCAAGTCAGTATATATTAATTAATCACAAATATTCAATTAGAGGCCCTTTTTAGCTAATTTATTCTCCAAAACCGTTGTTTTTATGTACAGTTTTTTGTTTTGTTTCCTACTTCCAATATATGTAAAACCATAACAGCTATGTAAAAAGATTAATAAATAAAGAAATGAATAGTAACGGAATTTGATCGTTTTCACATTAAAACTGAACAAAAGATACTCGGAGAAAGTTTAATTACAATATTACCTCGCGTTCATGACCATTTTTGGAGATAAACTCGTCGTTTCTCTCATATCCTGCCATTTCTGGGTAAATTTGAAACAACAAATTAACATTTAATAACTCAAAAACTTCAAAAACACATACATATAATCATAAAGATGGCTTCTTTTCATTGTACTTCACGTGCTTAAGTCTCACCTCTTTCGCCCAACAGAGAAAGATGACGTGTAATGTAGAACAACAATACAAAGACGAAAATAGTTAGGAAGAAATCAAAACATAAGGGATAATTTATATACATCTCCTAGGCCAAAAAAAGCATCTAATTCATGATTGGAAAAGAATATACTTATATGTATATATATATATATATATATATATATATATATATATATATATATATAGAGAGAGAGAGAGAGAGAGAGAGAGAGAAAGAGATTACCTCCAAGTAGAGAAATGAAGAAAGGAAGCAAAGGAGGATGGATGGAGATGAAAAGAACAAAGTGAGAAATATATATATTAATAAGTCAAATAGAATAAAAATTGTGAAAGAAAGGGAGGGGGTTGGGGTTGGGGTTAGGAGGGAGGAGGGTGTGAAGGAAGAGGAGAAACAAGAATATATATATATATATATATATATATATATATATATATATATATATATATATATAATATATATATATATATAGGGCTAGGTTATTTTGTTTCTTACATTTATTGTGTGCTAGAATGCACCAATATAAATTTAGTAAAATTAAATAATTATTTAAATATAGATATTAAATGATTTCCATAATTATATGTATATTAAATGATATCCATAATTATAATTCTTTTTTTATGGAAACTAATTAAATCCGTCATTAATGTCAGCAATAACATTCTTTTAGAATTAATTCGCATCTAGGTTTTATATATGAGTTCGTATTTTGTTTCAGGACTCACTCACTTAAAATACAATAAAGTTGCATTGAATATGAAGAACGAGAGTGTATTCTACTAGAATACACTCTCATTCTGCTGGAATACACTCTCATTCTTCTAGATATAAATTCATTCTGAAAGAATATTATTGTTGACATTAATGACAAATTTAATTAGTTTCCATAAAAATGAGTTATAAGTATGGATAGCATTTAATATACATATAATTAATACTAAATTCCTATAGGTGCATTCTAGCACACAATAGATGTGAAAAACATTTGAACCTACCTATATATATATATATATATATATATATATATATATATATATATATATATATATATATATATATATATATATATATATATATAATGTTAGGTTATTGTGTTCTAACTATCTATTGTGTGCCTGTATGATTGATTCTGGACCAATCATTTTAGTTATTTTTAGAAAGTAATTAATACATATTACATATTAAAGATATAATGAATATTAATTAAATCTTCAGCATTTAATATGCATTAATTACTTTTTTAAAATAACTAAAATGATTGGTCCAGAATCAATCATATATGCACGCAATAGATAGTAGAAACATTTGAATATATATATATATATATATATATATATATATATATATATATATATATATATATATATAGTAAGACTTAAAAATTGGTAAGGAGTCCAAAGACATATGTTACCTTTAAGATTGAAAAAGTAAATTGTCATGATTTATTTGATTTATGATAAAATCTTGCGAGATTAAATGATATTTTGATAATTATTTATGAGATTTTAATAATTTTCGGATAAGGTTATTTATTTGGACGGTACAAATAACAAAAAAAAAAGAAAAAAAATCCGAAAATCAGCACCCCTTACACACTGATGCGCGTCCCTTCCTCTAGTGTCACCCCTTACACAAAATCTTTGTTTCACTCGTCTTGCTTTTCGGTCATAACTTTTTTTTTTCCGAAAAATAAACTGAAAAAACCAAAGTTATTAAACTTTAATGTTCTACAAAATGAGAATAGTCATGAATATTTGAATTTTTTTTTTAATATTCTGTTTTTATAAAAATCCAAAAAATAAAAAATATTGTTCTAAAAATTATAAAAATTTAGGAAATACTTCTACTCATTATATTAGTGACTTTATACAGAGAAACTTTTAAAAATAAGTTTTTGAAGTTTTCATTTAATTTTAAAAATTATAGTTTTTATAAAATATAACGATTTTTTTATCCAAATTCGAAAAGCAAATTATAGAGAACTCAAAAATTCATGAAAAGCCGAAGTTTTTTTGTAAAACATAAAAAAAATACTATGATTATTTTTAGGCATTCTAAATTTGTGATCATAAATATATCCATATGTCTTATAAAATCTCATGGTAATATATATATATATATATATATATATATATATATATATATATATATATATATATATATATAACCAATTTTATTTAATATTTATATAAGTTTAATGTTGAGATTGATATGTGTAGCATCAGCTAACTTTCTCATTTGAAATGATTCTAAATTATATGCTGCCAAGATTGCAGATTACTAATGATACGTTTTGATTACAAATAGATATATGATGATCATAATCTGAATGCATTTTCTAAAATGAAATAATATATAAAGTATGTAAATATGTATGCATTTTCTAAAATTAAAATAATATATACAGTATCTAAATATGTATGCCAATAAATATTTAAACTAAGGCTGTTAAGATCGGGGTATTATATATGATCGATTTCCGCTTTACAAGATCGTGATCGTAAGATCCTACCAAAAACATTTTAAAACATAAAAAATATATTTTCATCAATCTGTTAACCATTCACCTAACAATAAATAGTTTAAAACATAAAAGATTCATGTATAATACATCATTTAATGAAAAACAATTCAAAATGGGTATTCTAAATAGTTAATTCAATAAAAAATATTATAATATTTTAAAATAATTAGTAACGATGATCTTACGGTGGATTCTACGATCTTACGATCCGATTCTACGATCCTACCGCGATCTTACCGAAATACAATCCTAGTAAGATCGGGATGACTTAGGTGAGATTGTAGGATCGTACGATCTTACGATCAAGATCGTGATTTTAACAACCTTGATTTAAATATTTCATGACAAACATAAACAGAAACAACATGATGTATGCTTTTAAAAAATTATAAAACAATTGTTGTTTATATTTATTCTAGATTTATTTATATGTAAATATAAATGGTTGTGTATGTTTATATGTTTTTCTATATCTATAATTCTATACATAGAATGGATTTAACAAGGGGTTATGCCACAATAGTCATTATACTTTAGCCCCAACTTTATTTTTTATTTTTTATTTGTCATTATATTTTAGAAAACGTTTTATTTTCGGGCCTTCGTCGGTCACCAACAGGTCACGATTACGTGTCTGTTTAACTTAGATAAAATATTTTTCTCAATTTGTATTTTACTCTGATATTTATGTATGAGTTTGTATTTAGCCCTAACATTTATTTTGCTTCCAATTTGCCATTATTTTTTAGAAAAAATTTCATTTTAGTCATTGGCCGGTCACAAGTAGGTATTTTACAACGTAATCACTTAAAATGAAAAAGGTAAAGACGTAGGCAATAGTTAAAACTGCGACTTCTTCTTGAGAAGCGGGCTGTGTTAGCTAGTATACCAATAGATCCTTTTTTCTATGTTATCAATGTTTGTTGTATTTAATGTACACATGTATTTTGAAATGAAGGAAAAAGACCTAATGTAAGTCTTGAGTCTGTAACATCTAATAAATAGTGTTAAGTTATTCATAATCCGTCTAAAAAACAATTGGTTATTTCTAATGACATAGTTGTTGGAAACTCAAAAAAATGAGATGCCAATACATAGAGTTTTAAGGGTTAAATAAAAGAAATATCATTAAAAGTTAATTTTTCTTTATTATAACTTTTGTACTTTCATATTTTCTTATTACATGTACTTTCAAATTAATTGTTATCAAGGTATTGTACTTTGATAAATATACTGACCATTTATGTAATTTTGTAATTTTTTCTAAGTATATTTATCAAAGTACAATGTCTTAATAACAATTAATTTGAAAGTAAATGTTGTATAAAGAAAATATGAAAGTACAAAGCTATACGAAGGAAAGAATAAGGTTCAGTGTTATTTTCTTTTATTTAACTATTAAAATTTTACATATTGACATCTCATTTCTTTGGTTTCTCAACAAATATGTCATTAAAAATAATCAATGGTTTCTTGCATGAATTATGAATTAATTAAACATTTTGATTAGCTTAAAGATTAGCATGTCATTTTGTTTATTAGATGTCTCGGACTCGAGACTTACACTAGACCTTTTTCCTTCATTTTAAAATATATTCGTAGATTAAATACAATAAACACTGTGACGTCCCATTTTCACAGGCAAAAATTTTCATTTTTAAATAAGGTAAAATCATCATTTACATAAAACCGAAGTTATAAAAACCCATTTCTTCCAAAATACGGTTGTTTGAAAATCAGAGTAATATAAATAATGTTGAATCTCCATTGCTGCTAATGTATGTGTACAGTCAAGCTTTCGCCTTCCCACGATCACCAATGGTACCTGAAAAACATTTAATCCACAACTGTAAGCCAAAGCTTAGTAAGTTCCCCCAAAATACCATACACCACAATATACATACAATGCATGCAGACATGAGCCTTCAGTCTGTCTGGCCCGCTTCTCAAGGCCTAAAGCATGCCTGGACCACTCCTAAGCCTACAGTCTGACTGGACCGCTTCACAAGGCCTACAGCTCACCTGGACTGCTCTCTCTCTCAGCATACAACTGACCCACAACTGGCCTACAGCACACCGCTGGCCCGCCCGGTTATCTTGGCCTACCGTACAAAGCAGGACCACCTCAACCCTCCACCCAATATGTCAAAATATGTGACAAAAAAGCAATCAAGTAAGCACACAAACACAGACAGCTATATAGCCTAGTCTACCTATCTAACAACTCATTACCATACCAGGCCTCATATAGTACACTACACAACTACTACCAGATCTCCAAGGAATGCATAACTATATGTCACCAGAGGTGAGATAGACATTCGAACATGTGATCCCACTCTAAATCCACAACCAAAGAAGTAATAAGAAAGAAAGCCTAGATCAAGGGTTCTCAGGCTGTCCTACGTGACTACATATAGTCCCTAGGGCACTCCATTATATGAGCACCAAGCTACTGGTACTCTAACTAGCATCCTAATACTCCTATATCCCGAGATACAATGATATACACTACAATACATAGTATAGTGAGGAAACTCACCTGAATTGAAGCCCCAAGGAAACACAACACCCTTACTC